GAGTTATCACCAATAATCCATCTCACTAGATGGTCACTAGATCTTCTTAAGTGTCTTAAACTTAGCACTACTGGAATAATTTTAGCCATTTTGCTGTGTGTTTTCTATAAAAGCCAAAGATTTCCACGTGCATCTATAGACATTTACAGATATCCCTTAAGTATTGTGGCTTCAGAAGCTCATGCTATTGATAGCAAATAATGTACCATTCTCTTTTATAAGCATAAATTCTTCCCTCCTTCAATTTTATACAAGTAATACTAATTCATTAAGAGACAGAGCCAGGTTGCTATCCATATAATGTCAAATCTACCAGGTGTAATGAACACAGGTAGTGAATGATTCCTTTTAGTGCTCATCTTTTGACATCACATAGCACATTGCCTGGCCTGATAAACATCAAGCAAATTATATGTGCCAACCACTGTGCCAACACTGTTTTTGTTTTTCAGGAAAAACATGATTTCTGTGCTCAGGTCATTCACAATCTGGTTGAAGAGATGGATATTGAATAAATAAAATATATAGTTTAGAATTTTTGAAGGGTGTGAAAAAGAAAAAGTTCTAAACAAGACATGATTATACCAGGAATAAATCAGGGGCCTTAATTTAAATCAGCAATCAGAGAGCTCTTCACCAAGAAAATGACATTTGTAACTGAGCCCTGAGGGATAAGTTGAGGTGGGCCAAGAAAGGAGCAGGTGGTCAGCCTTCCATATAGAGCATGGGCAAATGCCTGGGAACAGGGAATAATTTAGTGTATCCGAGGAACTGGGTAAAAGCTACTGGTGTTGAAGTGCATTGGAAGGATGGCACGAGATAAGGTCCAAGAGTAGGCAGTAAGAAGTATAAAGTCTATAATGGAAAAGAACAAAAGAAAAGCAGAGGATGATAGCCATCTAATTTACATTCTTTAAAAGAATTCTCTGGATGCTGTATGGAGAATGGGTTCGAAAAAGACAAGATTACCTATATGGGAAATCTATGGCAGAGACCTAGAGGAAAGAAAATGGTGGCTTGTTCTAGAATGGTATCAGTAGTGTTGGAAGTAATTGTATGGAATCAAGAAATCTCTTGGAAATGAAATCTAAGAGGACTTTGAGAGATGTATTGATGTTGGGCAGAGAAGAAGCCAAGTTTAATGGTCACATGTGTAACCAACAAATGATAGATGGTAGTGCTATTTATGAGGAAGTATTGAGAACAGTTTGGCAGAGGTGATGAGGGAAAAAAATTAGTTTTCTATGCCAATGAGACATTCTGAAGAATATATAAAGTAAACTTTAATTAGAGACAGACTATAGCAGTCAGAAGTCAAGTATGAATCTGAGTTGTCACCATATTGATAGTACTTAAAGCCATGGTAAATGAGATATTCCCAGCAAGATGATAGAGAAAAAAGGAAAAGGCTGAGAATAAAGCTGGATGAGGGGATGTGAAAAATAAAATGAAATGAATTAAGAGGAAGAACAACAGATGAGTGCAAAATGACAAAAGCTAACAGGAAAGGAATATTGACAAAGAGTACTGAATTCTCCTCAAAAAGGTTTTTAAAAATGAAATTGCTCGTTAGATTTATTAGTTATGGATTGGTGCGTTTGATGAATGACAAAGTAATTTTGGTGGAGAGATGCATCATGAAAAATCTTGGAGCAGGTGGAAAAGGAACGGCATACAAGAAAATAAAGACAACAGATGCAGACAACTCTTTCTAGAAACTTTACAGTAGAAGAAGGAAGAGAAACAGGGCTAGGGTGCAAGGAGAGACAGATTTGGAGTAAAAGGAAATAGCAACCATCAGGGAATCTATGTAAATGTGAGATTCAGTGTAAGCTGGTATTTGTCTTAGCCTAGGTTCTCTAAAACACGTCTGAGGAAGAACTTATATGCAAGTAATTTATTTTTATACCTAAACCCAAGGAAAGAGATTGGATGACTAAGGAGAACAAAATAAAGAAGGAAAGCCAACTTAGGAATGTATTATCAGCTCATCACCACCAGAAAATTGGGGTTCAGTCATGTTAGAGTCCTTCCTAAGTGTCATTTAGAATATATTCAGAATTCTTCACCCAAATAATAGAAGACAGGAGTTCAACACTAGTCAAAAGTTGCCCTATGGGGTACCAACTCCCTTGCACTTCCCAATTTGCACATGTCTCTGAATGGTAGAACAGATCCCTTTAGGTGTCCCACTCAGAGGTGGCAAAGAAGCCCAGGGCAGAAAATGAGACAATCAGTATAGCTGCAACCAATATCTGTCAAGTTAAGTCTGTATGTAGTTAGTTGCTATGGTAACAGCTAGAGTAAAAGATGGACCAAGAGAATGAAGCAGAGTATAGAGGTGTCTGATAGAATGTCTACCTGGATATTCACACACTCCACATCCTTTCCAGTCTCAAGAGATGAGATGGGTTGTGTATAGTTCATGACAGAGTTGGCCCATAGGTTCTACCAATTCTTGGCCTGCAGTCTTCCCTGGCTCTGTTTCAGATTAATTACTCCAGGTAGCAATGATGGCAGACAAGTTAAGTGAGTAAGAATTTTTATATATTCCCCGTGACAGATTCAAGAAATGTTTTAGAAACATCAGCCAATTAAATCAATATTTTATGAGCACATACTACATTCCAAATCTGCACACAGTTGTATAGACTGTCAGAGGATATTAAATATGGTCCTTACTTTGATATCTCATTAAGGGCATACGTCATAGATACATGAGAAGGGATCTAAAAATGGTAGATGGCCGGATATGATTAAATTAAAATGTGGAATAGGGCTGTGTCAAGCTAGTAGATACTTACTTGTGGCAATGTTTCTGTTAGAATGAGTAGAATCTCAGATTGTGGAAAGCAACTGTGAAAGCCATTTGTTTTTGTAGAAACATCAAGCTCTCAATGTTGGCAGAAATTCTCTCTGGGTGGTCAAACTAGAGGTGATTTTTTACTTTCTTCTCTAAATGTTACCATATTTTCCATAATTCCCACACTCAACATTTATTACTTTTATATTCTAAGAATTTTTTTAACATAACCAAAGGATGTGGGACAACTAGAACTCGCATACACTGCTGATGGCAACGCATAATGGTAGTCACTTTGAAAAACAGTTCAGCAGATTCTAATAAAGTTAAACATACACTTACCATGCGACTCAGCAATTCTACTCCTAGGTATTTATCCAAGATAAAGAAAAATGTTCTTTCTCTCGCTCTCTTTCACATGAAATGCGTACATGCCTACACACAAACACCACCACCACCACCAATGTTTAAAGCAGCTTTTTAATTATCACAAAAACTGGAAACAATCTGTATGTCCTTCAACTTATAAATGGATAAACTTTGATACACCCTTACAATGGAATACTACTCAGCAATAAAAAACAATGAACTATTGATAAATACAACATGATGGAAGAATATCAAATGCATTATACTGGATGAAAGAAGCCAGATTCAAAAAGTTGCATAATATATAATTGCACTCATATAACATTTTGGAAGAGGCAAAATCATAGGAACAAAACTGATCAAAACAAAGGAGTACCCATCAAGGGCTGTTGAAGTAATCAGCAGAACTGACCAAGATGGAGCCTCCATCAATCAATAAGAATGAGGAGGGAACAAAACACCTAAGAACCATTAGAGAACCCATAGCAGAATTCACTGACTCTCTGAGTTTAGAAGCAAAGAACAAGATACCAAAGTCTACTCTAGCATCATAAACCCAAAAGGACACATGATCCTTCACGATGACTGTACCAGTGAAGATTCTTTACATTGCAAATGACCAAGACCAACTCTGGTTGGTCAGCCAAACATAGAAAAGAAAAATGGTAGTGAGGAGGTATTAGAAGGATTCAGAGCAACTCACAAGAAAGAAGGAAATGCTGAACAAGAAGGTGTCAAACAACTCTCATGTGTCACTTCAAAACGTTTACCACTGCTGTGACAGCCATTCCACTCACATTCAACCAGCTTAATGAAGGTGCAAATGGACTGCACCTAGCTTAGCCTTGTATACCTCTCATTTCCTGTCCTAGGTCTTCTGTCCTGGCAGGAACCCACTAGACACTAGGGCATGCAAGTCAGAGGTGGGGAGTTAACACCATGGAGACACATCTGACCAAAACGAAATAATGGTCCATAAATAAATGCTTACCCTTCTCCCCAGTTCAGAGCAACAGCTCTCAGATCCATTTTGAAAATCTCCTAAATCAAGTCCTTGGCATAAAGGACCAGTAACCAGTAGCGGTGGCCAACTCAACAACTTATCTTTGTATTGATTATCTTTCTTCCCTGTTTCATTACTGCTGCCACAAACTCTTTGAGCTCATTATCAAATATACTACCTATAGCCCAGGCTTCTCAAGACTTGCTTCCTGGGGAACCCAGGCTAAAACAAGCAGGCCTTGGGAAGGATCCTTTATAGTTCTGGACATTTCAGCTACAGAAATTTATGGTTTATCTCTTAAGGGTGATGGCACCAGCAGACTCAGCTCTCATCAACTTCCAAACACTTCCCAGGAGACAGTCTGATTGACACAGTTTAGGTTACATGCATACTCCATCAAAGGGCACAGAACCTCATGTTCTAATCTCAACAGAATTATTTGGACTGGGGTCAGCTCTCCAAAGAATATGTGAAGGTGGGAAACAAAGGGTGATTTAGGAACATTTTGTTATCTAGTTACAAGTTGCTTTTTGATCATGTTAACTTATCTTAAAAAAAAAAAATAGAGCATTGTGCATGTGGCATAGCAGCCCCTTTCTGCTTTAAGTATAAGTTTATTTTCTCCAAGGAATCAATACCTTGCTAGACCTTGGTCACAGCCTTAAAATAGAAAAGGTAAGCATGAGTCAAGAATATTATGGAATTTTCTGGTAGGTTTTTCTGATAGCTCAAAATCGTTATTTTGAATTTGGAAAGCTCATACCTTAGCAATTGTTAAGATAGCCATGTTCACTTTTTTCTCACTCTTATTTTGTCTTTCTCTAGGTTAATATCCAACACAGGTATTAAGCACTTGCCAGCTGTTCACAAGATTCAATCTCTCCAAAAGGTTCTACTGTAAGTTTTTCCTTGAGTATTTACCTAACCAATAGATGCTTGCCCAACAGCCACTGGGCCTGTAATATGTATTGTTTAGCCTACATCCTCCAAATATGTCACTCTGGGTAAGCAGAGGTAGTAAGGCCAAGAGCAAGCAACTTTGGTTTTACCTGAAAGCCAGCTAAGCTCAGTGTGGAGACAGAAGTCTCCTCAATAAGACTGTTATCAACACAACCAGTTTGTAGCAAATCAAGTAGTCTCTCCTTTCTTCACTATTTAGTGATTTACATGCCCTTCCTGCTACAACTACCCCACCACCCCAGTCTTCTCCCACCCTCACCTCTTCCCTCCAGAAATCTACTATACTAGGCATAAAGAAACCACTTGACAGACAAATTCACACTGTCAGCAAGATAAGCTATTTGCCTTTTCCCAAGACATCTGAATTTTTTTTAAATTTTTTTTAACCTTTATTTATTTTTGAGACAGAGAGAGACAGAGCGTGAATGGGGGAGGGTCAGAGAGAGGGAGACACAAAATCTGAAACAGGCTCCAGGCTCTGAGCTGTCAGCACAGAGCCTGACGTGGGGCTCGAACTGACCGACTGCGAGATCATGACCTGAGCCGAAGTCAGACGCTCAACCGACTGAGCCACCCAGGCGCCCCAAGACATCTGAATTTTTAAAGAACAGGGGGAAAAAGTGTGTAGTGCCAAGTGTATTTTCAATAGTGAAATTGTAAGAATCTGGAAGTGGTAGGGAAGCGGTATAAGGAGCTAAGGACAAAGGGGAAAAAGGAGAGAAAAAGAAAATCTTAACATTTCTCAAATTGTTCTAAGCAGTTTACCACTTCTGTATACAGTTTATTTGTTAAATCTGACCCAACAGTCAAGCTTGATGGGAGGATGAGGGACACAAACCAAAAAATGAGACTTTCCCCACCCCTTCATTCAGGAAGAGAAAAATCAATGCTACAATTTTTCCTGTGACCCAGGTAGAAAAGGAGGTCAAGTGGCTGTGAGAGGGGAATTGAGACAGGAGGAAGATGAAGTCCCAACTATAGGGAATGGAGAAGTTTGGTTTGGAGGTGAAAGGTAGCTTTGGCATACTGAGCAGTCAAGGAATAATAAAGGAGTCTCCTACAACTTTAACACAGTGAAATTAGCTAAGGAAATGTTCAGAGACAAGAGACTGCATGTCTGCAATTTCACTTTTAAGAACGGATATACTGAAGGTCATTTATTTCCCTAACTCTGAACTCATCATCTTTCCAAACAGTAACTGTTCAAACATTGCCTCAGCTAAAGACCACATCATGCCAAGGAAATTAAATGCTGGAAGGTTACTTGAGTGGAGCTGGCATAAATACCTAATGTACCTGTTCTTTCTTCTAGAGACATTCAAGATAATATAAACATCCACACAGTCGAAAGAAATTCTTTCATGGGGCTGAGTTTTGAAAGTATGATTTTGTAAGTAAAGAAAAAAACTCCAATGGAGTAACATTTGGTTTTTCATTTAATCATCTTTTTCTTAACAGGATGCTCCTTTTGTGTTTAGGTAACTTTGGCATTTCACCATTTAAATTTCTGTCTGGTTCAGTATTTTTCTCTCATTTCCATCTTTGCATTTCAGAATCACAACATGGAGTCATGTTAATAATTTATGATTCTGTGGTGCGATTCAAGTATTTAAAATTGCTCTGTGAGTGATGGTCTCCTGTGATGCAACATCTGTTCTGAAGGACAGAACTCATGCATCAATAAAGCTAGTTATTGCCTGGCAAGGCTTTTGTTGCCCAGAGAAAAAGATCAAGAAGGAGGCTGAATTCAAAAGATATTCTCTCATAACCATGCCAAGCAGCTCCTATTCAACCCCATGCTGGGCATAAGATGACTTCTCATTTTCTTGGAACAATCACGTTTTTTTAATGAGCCTGAGTTACTCCCTCTGACTTTTGGTAATGTTTTTAAATGCACTATGTGCCATTGATGGACTACTTTGGAATCTTCTCTATTAGGAGCCAGTGTGACAGTTTACCCACTCCCCAAAATGGCCAAGAAATAGAGTGCTAGAGCCTACCCAAGAGTTTGTGGGACCCATGAAAGTTAGGTTAACAGAATGGCATTTGGGAAACTGGTAATTGCCATTACATCTGTAAAGAAAGCATTTTATCCTTCCATTTCACAAATTGTCGCAATTTTTAAAAATATAGTAATGTGTGTGTCTGTTTGTCTTTAAAATATGTCATTATGGGGGCGCCTGGGTGGCGCAGTCGGTTAAGCGTCCGACTTCAGCCAGGTCACGATCTCGCGGTCCGTGAGTTCGAGCCCCGCATCGGGCTCTGGGCTGATGGCTCGGAGCCTGGAGCCTGTTTCCGATTCTGTGTCTCCCTCTCTCTCTGCCCCTCCCCCGTTCATGCTCTGTCTCTCTCTGTCCCAAAAATAAATAAACGTTGAAAAAAAAAATGTCATTATGTACAAAAGGTAAGTTCCAGCCAAGAAAGAATTTTAGTCATTTTCAAAGCAGCAACATGATTCAGTGACTACTCAGCAATACAAAAAAGGAAAGGGGGAAGAAACAGATGAGGAAATATTGAAGATTAAAGCTAGGCACAGCATTTGATGTAAATTAATTACAAAGAACAACAGAAAGGTTTCAAAGAGACTAGTGGAGGAATTGCAAGTGTGAAGGAAAAAATAAAATTGAAGGCATGTATTACAACAAAAATTTTTAGTGAGTCCTACCTAAGCCTTGCTTTTAATATGCTGATGATATTCAGAATTTATGTACACATGTATTGGAATGAGTTGATGGGGTGTGGGAAATATGAGTGAAGGAGAGAGCAAAATAAATGAATTAAAATATAAACAGAACTAAAAGTCTGCAAAATAAAAGCAACTATTCTAAGACTGAAGAAGGATTAATTTATTCCGACTGGCGTGTGATGTGAGGGTTGAAGGAACAGTTTAATGAGGGAAAGGTGGCTGAGAAAGGAAGTTGCGTCTAAGATAGGCTTTAACGATAAGTGGGATGTAGCCAGGCAAAGAGCAAACAGAAGAAACAGAATCATCAAGGATATGAAGATTAAAAAGAAAAAAAAAAAAAGGAATACGGGAGATAGAAGGAAAAGGGGAAAATAGAAAGCACCTTAGTAACATCAGCCTGGCGGGTTAGAGCACAAACAACAGTGAATGGACTGCCGTGCTACATATGGAAGGAGACTAGTGATAAAGGTCATCAGTTGTCCCTGGATATCTGTGCTTCTTGTGCTTCTTTAAAACTTGCCTTGGGGCACCTGGGTGGCTCAGTCGGTTAAGCGGCCGACTTCAGCTAAGGTGATGAGCTTGCGGTCCGTGAGTTCGAGCCCCGCGTCGGGCTCTGGGCTGACAGCTCAGAGCCTGGAGCCTGTTTCCGATTCTGTGTCTCTCTCTCTGACCCTCCTCTGTTCATGCTCTGTCTCTCTCTGTCTCAAAAATGAATAAACGTTAAAAAAAAATTTTTTTAAATAATAAAAAAATAAAACTTGCCTTAACACAGGTGTCATTTTTAAATCTAGTGATTCAAAGTCACTTAATATTATCATGTGGCAAATCTATTAACAGAATATTTTATAAAAATGTATCATTAAGTGCGAGTGTGCTGATATTTCCACTGTTTTCTACTTTGGCAAGCCATTATTTTTGTCTAGAACACAAGACAGAAGAGCATACTCTCCCAAAAAGGAGAGCTTTCTTGAGAGTCAATACTTCTCAGACATATCTCTAAAGGATAAATTCATTTTTGTGAGAACAAAATCTTTTCTTGACCTCAGATGGTCCTTACCCATAGATAATAGAATCAGAAAATTCATACTCAACACAGATTAACACTCCAGTTTTTCTTAATTTGGGTGCTACCTCTGGATGCAGGGCTACTTTCTCCCCCTATGAATATTCAGAAAAGGAAGCATGGCAAAATGGCATGGAGGACTGATAACATTTTCTATGCACTGGCATTTTTCAAAATACTGACACCCTGTTCTAAAAATACCTTTATTGTACATATACAACATACATATAAATATTACACACACACATTTTTTTTCAAACAACCCAGTAATAAAGGATTATCAAATACTTGGCTAGTGACTCAGAGGAAAATGAGTGATTAAATGTCCACCATGTTGAGGCCTCTGAGCCCCTTCCCACCCCTACCCTGCAACCAGAGGGTCCGAATGAAAACACCTAGCCATGGCCAATTAGCAGAATGGCCTCAGATTTGGGGAAAAATTAAATGAGGCTACAGGTCTATCAGCTCCCACACATCCCAGCCATAGAAAAGGCTCACTCCATGTGCATTTCCTCTCTTCCTCAACCGGTTTCTATCTCTCTTGCCTACCCCAGGGAGCTTTAATAGGCCAGGTCACCCCCAGCACCTTCACTCTTCAGGCTGAGGGCAATTTCTGCTTCTGGAGCTCCTGAGCCTCTACCAAAGCTACCTATGTGTAAAAATTCGAGAAAACCATGATCCAGTTATTCATTAGTCAATACGGTGCCCAGATTGTCCTTGTCGTCATCATCATCAGGCTTTAAAATGACCATTGTCTCTCTTAAGAGGCTAAGAGTTATACTTCATAAGTGTCAGCTTCTCGTTGTTAGTGGCTGAGTGCTACCACCTCATGTAAATCCCAGGGCAGAGGTTCTGGGCATCACTTGGTTTTTGTGTAAAGATCCATTGTTGACATCAAAAAATTCTACCCTCTCCCCATATGATGGTATCCATTGATTAAGAAAAGTCCATAAAGACAAAGGGTTACTTCAAATACAGTAATTCTTCTAAATTAGCCTCTATAATATGTAATCATAACAACATCTATTTGCAGGAAATATATGTACAGAAAATACTATCTTGTGTTCAGAAACATAGTTGGAGCCCATCTGGATTTACATACCCCTTGTGTTAGATGAAGGGTCAGCCAAACCTGGACCATAAATTAGTACAAGTTTTTAGAAGTGAACATTTTGACTGCAGGGAACATCACCATTGAAAGTAAGTTAAGTAAAATGGTATCCTGCGAAAGAGAAGACAAGAGAAGACAAGACAGACAAAAGACAGGCAAGAAAAGACAGGCAAGAAAGAAAGAGAAAGAGAAAAAGAGAGAGAAAGAGAGAGAGAAAGGGAGGGAGGGGGAGAGGAGAGAGAGAAAGGGGGAGAGAGAAAGCAAGAAATCCACTCTTTTTTTTTTTTTAATTTTTTTTTCAACGTTTATTTTTGGGACAGAGAAAGACAGAGCATGAACGGGGGTGGGGTAGAGAGGGAGCACAGAATCGAACAGGCTCCAGGCTCTGAGCCATCAGCCCAGGAGCCTGAGACTCAGACCTGGCTCAACAGATCGTGACAGATCAGACCTGGCTGAAGTCAGACAACCATCATGCCGACCCAGGCGCCCCGAAATCCACTCTTTTCAATAGACCGCTATTACAAAAAAATTTTTACTCTGGTGTTACATTTTAAATTTAGTGGAAACATTTGTGACATTGCTTTATAAGTGCCTGTATAAATCATCTATGTAATATCCTCCATTTTGCCTCTTGGCCCACAAAACCTAAAATGTACTGCCTGGCCCTTTACAGAAGAAGTTCGCTAATCTCCTGTGTTTGATCCAAAATCCCAGGGACCTACATCCCACAGGTTAGGGGCAGCTGCTCCAGCAACTCACTACCTGGGAACAGGTTGACAAAGCAGTCAGGAGGCTGGAGAGCTGGGGTGTAGGCAGGTAGTGGCAAGGTTAGTGGGGTGTGGGGGTGTATAGCCACTTCTTGGCCATCAGAACTCACCAATTGGTTGCTTATGTTTTAAGAAGATTTATCTGGTTCCTGTCTAGATTTTTTT